CATTGAATCCGTGATTAGGGATTCCCAGAACTTGGAACATCTTCAGACCATGGAAAACAACATTCAGGAAAAGCTCGACGAGAACCAATGGAGAAAGATTCATCATCATTCCATATCAATCAGTATCCTCACGTCAACAACCCTGATCATCATTATGATAACTTTGACCGCAGGGTACCGGTTCTGTCAAAGATGCCGAAGGAAGTCTGCTGACCATAGAGCTTCAACAACCACCACATCATCACCTCAGGAGGGTCAACTGATGGAACTAATGCCACTATAATCCAGCATCCAGGAGACCTAAATGAGGGAACTGATGACAAACCAGCAATCGAGAGGGGGCAGACTGTTTAATCGTCAATTAAACAAATTTAATATCTTATACTTTCCAAAATTTTATATTTAATATTTTTTTATTTTTATTATTTTAATTTTTTATATTTAAATAATTTAATATTTCGAAGCGGTGACCGACCCAAAGGTGCTGAGCCTACAAAATCAGTACCAATTAATCGGTCATCGCCGTTAAAACTGCATATTTGCACATTGTTTAAATTATAATCAATGAATTACTGACATAAAACCAAGTCAGACCTGTATTATTGAAATCTCTTTATTTTCATTTAAATTAACAAGACAATCTTGTTACAATAAATAAAAAACAAAAAGGTGCGTTATCTATTTTTAGCAATAATTTGTTTATTATTCATTCTACACTTTCAAAACTTCCACATTATCAAAGCTATTTTTGAATGCGCTTCTAGTGGGTTTGAAGGTTTTTTTTTTATTCGCAAGATTCCACTATAAAACAATATTGTTTTTGCTTAATTTTATTTATTGTTTTCATACATTAATGTCGATAATTTCAGAGATTTCTGCGGTTCGTTTCAATTTAGTTACTTTTATTCACTTCCCAGATAGCACAAAAGGTACCCAGGACGTCCATTTAGGGTCCCACATAGGTCCGAACGTCCCAGACCAAATCGGAAGTTTTGGGTATACGTATACGTCCAGTCTCTTACTTATTTGGGAAAATTAAAGCGGATATACTCGGTACGTCCCAAGGACGTAAAATTAAGTTCTGCGCATCTCCCCTCCAATCCTTTGAAGAGATAAAGAAGATATCTTTTTAACCTCTATTATTTTTTGCATCTGTCAAGCGTCAAATGTGTCACAACAATGTTTACCATTACGATTGATTCACTCGGATTCGCAACCGTGCCTTTGAAGAGACAACGTTGATTTGAGAGGTGTGCTGCAAATATCAAACTTAGTGCTAGAAGATTCCTTCTTTCCGTAAGTTTTTACTCCCATTTATTATCACTTCATTTTTGCTTTCATATCATTGCTTAGAATAGTTAGTTCAGTAGAGTAGTTAACCAAAAAAGGGGATCATGTTTGAGCCTCGGTGGTGTAGTGGTCAGAGCTCCTGGGTACGAGCCGAGAGGTCGTGGGTTCGAATCCCACTTGGGTATGGTTGTTTATTTGTGTTTGTCCATTGTGTATAGTCCTTCGGAGGGGACTTTAAGCCGTCGGTCCGTTCCTACCCCTAACCCGCACAAGCCATTCAGTTGGCTTATGGGACATCTTAGTTTGGATGTAAGGGTGGAACTAAAAGAGCACTTTATAACTTTATAACTTTATGTTTGATCCCAAAAAACCCACGGATGACCCGGGTGGCCAAGAGGGAGAATACCTAAAAGAAATTAATGATGCTTTAAAGAGTTCGCCCTCTGCTAGGAAGGCAGCTCGAATTCTGCTCGATTTATGCGATAATGTTAGGTGTAATACAGATGAATTGTTTTTTTCTCAACTGGATATCTCGCAGGAAACAAAAGATGAAATAAATTTAGCGGTAGAAAACGGGTTTTTGATAGCTCCTAGAGGAGAAAGAATAGATATTCCTGAAAAAAAAAATTAAGATTCTTTCAAATATTAAATTAAATGTTGAGCCCATGGAGGTTCACAAGGATGATAATGAAGTAGCGGCGCGTGACCTTGCAGAAAAAAAGCGAAAAGAAACCTTACAAAAACTTAATAATTTACGGTATGATTTATACGATACAGGCCCATTTATAGTAAATGTAGAAAGCTTGGAAGGGATTTTAAATTATTTCAGTATAGGTAAAATGTTATCAAAGGAGTTAGAATCAGATATTTTTAAAATAGCTAAAAGAGGCCGCAATAGGGTGGCGCTTTACTTTAAGAAATATGATAGAGCTAATAAATTTTTAGAAAATATTGGATTTTTGCAAACTAATAAATTTAAAGCATTTATCCCTAGACACCTAATAACCTGTAAGGGTCTGATAAGAAATTTAGATGGGGATATTAGTGAAGAAGAAATTACGAATAATTTGAAGGTTATGGGTAGAACTAGAGAAATTTTAAATATTAGAAGAATTAAAAGGAAGATTAGGGATGAAGCGGGTACATGTAATTGCAATTAAACTAGTTAATACCCCTCTGGTAGTGTTTACGGCTAGGGGCAAGGTAGTTCCAGATAAATTAGAGTTATTTTTATTCTCTGTTAATGCGGAAAAGTACGTAGATCCGGTTATTTAGTGCTTTAATTGTCTTAGATATGGTCATACTCTCACTCAGTATAGAGGAAAGGCCCGTTGTTGTAGATGCGGGGAGGACTCTGAAAAAGACCATCCTAATTGTTCGATCTCTTGTGTTTTTTGTGGGAAGGAACATACGGCTACTGAAAAAGGAATTAATTTTAAAGTCCGAGTATGTCCAGAGTTTTTAAGACAAAAAAAATTAAAGAGGTGATGGCTTATTATAATCTCTCCTTCTTTGAGGCTGCTCAGAGTGTCCCTCCAGCTAACTCTCCGAGGAAAACAGTTAACTCAGTTAATCAATCCAATAATTTTATAAATTCTTCTGTTTCATCTTTTCCTAGTCTTCCAAGAACCTCCTTGGAGGAAGATATAATCCCTATTAAAAAGAATTTTAATTTCACCAAAATCCTGGAGAAGTCTCCTCCAAGAACGCCCACTAAAAGAAATAATTTTTTTAACAATGATGCTTTAATAAATTCTAATGGGAGGATTCATGAATCCCCCAATAAAAAATTTATCAATTCCCAAGGTAATGCTTGCCCTGGTCCTAGGGTGGACTCAAACCCTACAAATGAAGATTTTGTCCAGCTATTTATTAATATGTTTAAAGAAAATCCAACATTTATTTTTGAATTAATAAAAAACACTTTAAAAATTGATATTCCGGCCCGGGAGGGGGCGTATTCTCAGGGTCCATCTTCACGGGATGCCTGAAAATTATTCACTGGAATATTCACAGTTTTTATGCAAACAAAACAGATCTGTTAAATCTTATACACTTGCATAATCCAGACATAGTTTCACTATCAGAGACCTGGATTAAGCCAGAACACTCTGTCAATGTGAAAGGTTATAATATTATTCTTAATTGTAGAAATGATGGAAAGGGAGGAGCAGCTATTTTAATTAAGAGAAATATTTATTTTAATCAGAAAAATGTTAACTTAATTGAGTATGAGAAAGTACAGTTTCTGAACATTAGAGTTGGAGATTTATGTATTGGGTCGGTATATATCTCTCCCAGTGCTTGCGTTAATGACCGTCTGTTTCAAAAAAAATTTTCAACTCTTGGTCAAAAATTTATTTTGGTGGGAGATTTTAATTGCCATAACCCTGCATGGAATAGTTATACAACCAATCCGAATGGAAATAGGTTAAGGGCGTTTATTGACCAAAATGATATATTTCTTTGGTATTGTCTACTGCGCCGCCGGCGGGTTTTTGAAAATTTTATGGCTTCCCCGCCGCCGGCGTTTTTTAAATTTTATTGCCGCACCGTCGTTGTTTACTAAGGTTATGTTATACCTTTAAATAACTTTATTCAAAGTGTTATACCTAATAGGTATTACCTATATAAGTGGAATTATGGTTATGTTATTAGCCGTATTATACGGCCCGTATATATGTAAAAATGGAAGATATTGTTGTTGTTTCCTTGGAATCACATTAAATTACATCACATTTGATGTTATAATAATTATTAATAATAATATCGTTACGTAAATGTGTAAAACTGACAAGTCCATTTTTTGCAGTTTATGCATTTTTCGTACCAAATGAAAAAATGGTTTTACACATTTAGGTGACGATATGTTAACATTTTTAATGTTAATTTCAAAATATTAGTTGAACAGTACAAGGCAGATCGTTGACTAAGATTTTGGTATAAAAAACAATAGGTAATAGTATTACTATTACGGGATTGGCGGTTCAACGCCATACCACATCCTAAGATGTGGATATTGGTTATTCAACAGAGTTATTTAATAGTAAAAATGTTTTTTTAAGCATTAATGCTTTAAATTTAAACCAATATTGGATAAAAAATGTATAGGGTCACTTCGCTAGTAGTCGGCCACTTTAGATGACATTCAAATTGAATAATAAGTTGCTAAGGTGTTTTTCAACTTAGAAGGCTAATTCTGGGATAGTAAGAAAGCAAAACTATTAGACCATTATGTCATTACAAAAAAAAAATGTAATTAAGAGAATACTCTTTATTAATTTTTATATTAAAAATGTGCTATTTTTCTAGTAGTCGGCCACCCATATGCTAGTGGCCGGCCAGGCATATCCTAGTAGTCGGCCGCCTGTACATTGAAGCAATTTACTTCAGGTCAGTACTTTAAAAATTGTATTGTAACAATTTAAACTAAAAACGTTTATAGTCAATCGCACGTTCTTTATAAAAATAAGACAAGTTGGCAATAATAACTAAAATAAAAAAAGATGTTTTGTTATCATTTATTTAATAAATAAAAGTGTATAAAAATAGAATATACTTAAAAAAATATATATAAAAAACAACAAAAGCATAATGATTAAAAACATTATACTTAAAAAACAAACAAAAACATACCTAATGATAAAAAACATTTATCATTAGAAACTCATTCACAACAGAAATGATAAAAAACATTTATCATTAAGAACTCATTCACAACAAAAATCACAGTAAAATTCTTGATCAATCACAGAATCGTACGTTTCGCCAGCTAATTTAGTGCAATTTAGGTGAAACCACCTTGGGCACATGTCACAACCGACGTTCTTTTCCCCTTCTTCTTCGGCATCGCTTTCTAGCAAGTCTTCGCAAATTGCACACTTAACTTTTTTTTTAATTAAGTTTTTTTGTATCTCATTTTCATCTTTGGGTTTTAGCTTTTTTTTATTTTTTGACGCTTTTTCTAACTTCCGTTTTTCTATTTCTTCCCTTTTTCTTTTTTTTATGTTTTCTTTTTCTAATTTTTCGTTATCTTTGTTAATATAATAATCTCTCCAAGCTTTTGATGAAACTGCGCTTGTTGAAGGTCCAGCTTTTGCTCTATTGGTTTTTTCAATTGGCTTTGGAACTTGTAAATATTTGTCAATGGTAGTTACCTTGTTGGGTTCTCTTAAGGGTGTTTCTTTTGGTTTTCCTGTTTTATTTTTTGCTTTTTTATCTCGATCTTCTGCAACATTGTTATTACGCCCTTCTTCAGCTTTTTCATCAGCTTTCATTTCATCCTCAGCTATGGGATCATTAACGGGCTTAAAATTTTCATCTTGTTTTTTGTTTTCGACTTTTGTTAATACTGCTTGACACATATTGACGTCGTCATTGGGTTTCAAAATTGTATCAGTTTTGTTTTCTATATCTTTACTATAATGAGTTTTATTTTCACCAATGGCCTTAGGTATTTTTTCTTCTTCTTCTTGGTTTGATTCTGTACTAGTTCTTTGATTATCACTAATTATATCATTGTCTTTATCTGCACTAAGTTCAATTAATTGTATCGTATTTAGTTCAGTGTCTTCTGCTTCAATTCTAGGTTCTTCTTCATTTTCACCTACAAATATGGTCTCCTGAATGTTACAGCTTTCATCAAAAATCATGTTTTCAATATTAGTTACGCTCTCGGTTACGCTATAAGAATTTGATTTATTATCTTTGTTTGTTTTTATCTGAGGTTGTTCAACTTTTGGTGGAGGGACAATGTCAACTCTTAAAATATTTATTTTGTTTGTTTGAACTAGTGACAGGGTTCCATCTTCATTTATCTGATATTCATTAATCTCATTTTCGTTCTGGTTATTTGCTGTGAATATTTTGTTTTCATACGTTTTTAAATCCCGCAGTAATAAATCTATATCGCCAGCCTTATGCAAAATTTCTTCTTTTAGACTGTTTAACACTTTATAAGTAGTTTGAAAGTCTTCTGAAGATAAAAATTGTGATTCATCATCCGCTGGATCAGTTGTTTGGAGATTTTCTAAAGTATTCTGAACACATTTAGTGTAATCCACAGCGTTGCAGTCAAAGGGAAATAGTCCACAGCGACGAAAACCTTTTTTTATGTGTTCTGGCAGATTTTGATTTTCAACTGCTATTTTAAAAACGGGTGCGAAATTAAACTTTGTCAAGCATTTACCTGCATTTTCGTTTTGCCAACTTCTCACAGCCTGCCGCCAGTACTCCTTTAGTGGTTTAAATACTGCGACATCGGCAGGCTGCATTAAATGTGTCGCATTTGGTGGTAATGAGTATAATATTATGCCATTTTCATCGCAAAATTGGCTGAGTTCGATTGACATATGAGATCGATGTCCGTCTACAAAAAATAAAATGGGTTTCTGAATGTGTTCGTTTAACACCCACTCGTTAAGACCGTTTTTTACAAAGTCAAAAAATACGTCAGATCTCATCCACCCGGATTCCGATTTTCCCAAAATCCAATCGTCCGGTAAACTTTCAACAATAGCTCTCGGTGGCTTCTTATATGGATAAACCACGCACACAGGACAAATACGTCCATCTGCAGAAATGGTCAAAAGCACTGTGATGTTTTCTTTTTCGTTGCCCTTTTTCACTTCATAGAGGTTTTTAAAACCTTTTGGTCCAAGGACCCTTCCAGTTTTAGGACATAAACTGAAACCGCTTTCGTCGGCATTAAAAATTCTCGATGGAGATGTTAAAATATCCGTTGCCTCAATGCTATCTAGAAATTCTACCAACTTGCGAAACCAGGATTATTCTTCAGTCAATTTTGCCCGAGATTTATCTATTGACTCGGCAGTTCGAGCCGAAATTTGGGGGTTTCTTTGAAGAAACGATGAATACCATCGTTGTCCCGGTTTTCCATCTTTAAATGGGGTTGTTATGTTTTCTTCAAGAACTATTTTTTGTACAGTATTAAGAAGTTCCTGCTTTTTAATTGGAAATCCACATTTAGCTAACTGAATTAACCAGTCAACTATCTTTTTCTCATTTTCAAAGCTTAAAAACGGGTCTGGACCCATCTTTCGCGGTTTTTCACTAACACGTCCCTTGATCCGGTCCTGAAGTGTTGACCGAGGAATCCCATATACTCGACATGTTTCTCTTATTTTAGCGCCACTTTTAACTTCTTCTAAAGCTTTTTTCAAGTTTTCTTCCGAGTACATGTGAATTTTTCTCTTTGGTTCTTTAGGCATGGTCTAGAATAGCAAAAAAGGCAAATTTTAGACAAAAAGATGCAAAAAAATAGAGGAAAAATGTTGTGGCCGACAACTAGCAAAATGCTAATTTGGATACTGTTCCAGTAGTCGACCACAAAATTAAAACGCTTGCAACTTTTTTGTTATTTACTTTGACCCCGGCCGACTATTAGTACAATATATCGTTTGATATTAATCTAAATGGTGCCATGAAAGAAAAACATATACAAATTTCCATAAAAGCAAAAAAGATAGAAACATAAAAAGGTCCATGCGCTAGTAGTCGGCCACTATGGCCAACCACTAGCACAATGGGTTAGAATTTATTCCAGTAACCGGCCACCTTATTTTAACCTTAAAAAATGCTAATATGTGCTTTTTGCATCAAAAATAAGTTACTTTAATGTTAATACTTACCTTTAAAGACCTAAAACAGCTTCTAAACCCTTATAATTAGTCTAAACACACTTGTTTTAGTTATGCACTTGCATCTTTCACTGTAATGAATAAGTGTTACACGGGCTCAACTTGCAAATAGGTAGTTTTTAGGCGGGAATTTTAATACTAAAACTTGACACTAGAGGGGAGTGTTTTAATTTTTAGATCAAAGAAAGATGAAAGCTTACTGGTAAAGAAGAAACCTGTTTTAAACTCGCGGTAAACTCAAGTTATTATTAAAAAAGTTCTTAAGTGGCCGACTACTAGTGGGGGCCGGCTTACTAGCTAAACCACCCTACATGTCCTAGCATTAAGTTAATTAACTATATTAACAATTGTTAACAATTGTTAATATCAATTAACATTGATTTTTGACCAGTTATTCATACAAAAAAATCAGCTTGTTTTAAAAAAATGTGCCACCCATAAAAAGCTTGAAAATATCAAAATGCGTCAGGAGAAAAAATACTTATTGCAATATACTTTTATATTTTATTAAAAAAATCTTTTACACAAGAAAATTTAATATTTAAATTTAATTATAATATATAATTATTTAAGTCAATCTTTTGGCCCTTTTAATGATAAACATTTTAATAATAAGCTACTCAATTAATTTTTTTCCTAGCGAAAAAAGATTTTTGTCATTCCTTATTTTACTTGGTAAACATTCTGGAGAAAAAAATGCTTGTTTTATCTCATCTTAAGATCAAACCCTATAGACAATATATACCCAACTTGGGTGGCTGGGGATTTTAGTCAAATCCATTGTTTCCCTAAAATTAAAAAATCATAAACCTTATAAATTTAGAAATACTAATAAAACTTACGAACTCAAAAAATTTGGTACATTCTATCCAATTGTCTTATTTTAAATATACTATTGGACCACATTTAGACATTGCCTTTAAAATTGTGTGGGAAAAAGGCTTTTTCAAGCAGGACCTTGGACATTTGGAAAGTTTTTTGAAATTTCATAGCCTATTGACAAATCCAATGAGCTTGTTGTATTTAAAAATTCTTCAACTATATTCTTGTTTATTTCTTTGCCATCAATCATAAATCCATCCTATGCATAATCAAGAAAATTGTTACAAACTAATTTTAACAGGTGTGGTACCTACACCAATAAATACAAAAATGATTTCATTTGTTGTGGGATTCTTGAAGGTGTTGCTTTTTAATTGACGTTTTACTCATTTAACATTCAACAAGTTTTCTTGTACCATAAACATAACCATATAAAATACACTGATAAAATACATAACATAACCTCTGTACACTAACGGCAAGGACGGTGCTGCAATAAAATTTAAAAACGCCGGCGGCGGCGTAGCCATAAGATTTTTAAAACCACGCCGGCGGTGCGGTAGACTCTGCCTATTTCTTTTCAATGATGGTAACCCCACTTTCTTCAATAGGTATGGTAACAGTGTTATCGATTTAGCCCTTTGTTCTTCTAATTTAGCATGCCTAGTTACAGAGCAGACTCTGGAAGACACTCATGGGAGTGATCATTTTCCTCTAATGGTTGTGTTTAGCAATGCAAGTAGCAGGGTGAAAAGGGGAGGTGTTTTCTCATCCCAAAAGAGAAATTTCAAAGGAGCAGATTGGGAAAATTACTCAAAAGATGTTGTTTAATTCTCAGGTGGATAATATGTCCTACGCAAAATTTCATGACATTATAATGGAGGCTGGAAATAGGAATATCCCATATAAAAAATTCGGTATCAATAAAAACTTTTGCCCATGGTGGGACCTTGAGTGTTCTTCACTTATTAAACACAGAGCTAAAGCTGTTAAGCAGTGTTATAGGGACGGTAGAGTATCGTCTTTTGTACACGCTAAGAAAGTAATTGCGGAGGTTAAACTTAAATTGAAAAATAAAAAAGGGCAGTGTTTATTAAATTTGCTTCTAGTCTAAATAGGGAGAATGACTTGACTGAAGTATGGAAATCTATAAGGGGCTACAGAAAGTCCTTTGACAGTGGTTTATTTTTTACAAATAGGAATGATTCCTGGAAACCCGCTTTTATCGACGTATTAGCTCCCCCATCTTGTGCTAATTTGCCTCTAGAACCAATAATCAGGAAGCTGAAGACTTTTTTAATACCCCCTTTAATATGAGTGACTTGGAAGGCATTTTGGGAAATCTTGAGGACTCGGCTCCGGGGCCTGATGAAATCTCGTTTAGCATGTTAAAACATTTACCGAACGAGTTTATAAAATATTTATTGACATTTTTTAATAATATTTTGTATGACCATGGGCAAATTCCGGAGGAGTGGTTTAATTTCTCTATTATTCCTATTCTTAAGCTTATAGCTCTTTCATCCTGTGTGCGGAAGGTCTTTGAACACTTAATTAAACTTCGGTTGGAATGGTGGGTAGAAAGAAGGGGGATCCTTCCTCCTTTCCAATTTGGCTTCAGAAAAGGAAGGGGAACCTTTGACAATACTGCAAATTTATATCTCGATATAGCCAATGGATTTATAAGTGGTAGGAAAACGTTGGCTGTATTCTTGGACATCGCGTCTGCTTATGATAACGTTCTTCCGGAAATTCTCAGTCAGACTCTTGAAGAAATTGGGCTCCCCAAAAATTGGGTGAAATTGTTGTATAAGTTAACTTACAAAAAAAATGTCGTAGTCATCAGTCCTCTATTGTTCAGTATCTACACTCGATCAATTATGGATGCGGTAGGTATAGGTGTTGACATTTTGCAATATGCAGATGATATTGTCCTGTATTCATCCCATAAAGAGGATGTGACTCAGATTTTGAGGCGATTGTCGAACTGCCAAACTTCGACGGTACAAGGAAGTCCATACACCTAAAGAACTGTTTACTATTATATAACTGATTGACAATTGAAGCGAATTGGTTGCATTGTTTTTACATTTCTTCACGAGATTTTTACCTATAAAATTACTGAATTTTGCAATGTACGATTGGTGGCTTGAGTTCAAGTGATCTAAAGA